CTGATGTAAATGACGAGTTGATGGGTGCTGACGAGTTGATGGGTGCAGCACACCAACATGGCACAAGTATACATATGTAACAAACCTGCACGTTATGCGCATGTACCCTAGAACTTAAAGTATAATAATAAAAACAAAAGTGGACAGGATGACACTTGAGGCCATCTACTGAGTCCTAATTAAAAGGAGGAGTCTTTCTGTGTATTTTAAACTACAGGACAATTTCAGGAGCTGATTTCAAAAATCATCTCAACTAGTCTATCCCAAGCAACCATGACCATATGAGCAGAATGTTTTGTTAGCAATGTAAGATGAAAGTATTTTACAAAGGAGATACACCCTGTAACAAGTAACATACCCAGAATAGATACAATCAACAAAGCAACAGCTAAGATTATTCTTCAATGACAACTAATTAATTTGGAAACAACCGTAGGTGTCCACATGTGTGCTTTAACCACATTTTTATAACCTGTAGTATCTGATCAACGTATTCTTTCTGTAATATTACCTACCTTGCCACAAACTCTTTATTCTTATGACCAGTAGAAGTATCCTTGAAGGAATAGCTTTCGCTGCTTATGATGAAGGGATAAACAATAGCCTGCGGGTAGTTATCAGTGATTTCTTCCACGGTGTGCTGAACAGCAATGGCTTGGTCTTTGTCCAGTAAGGCCACCATGTGGCTGATCCAGCCGATGAACTGCCAGCAGGGAACGGAAGAGATCTAAAATAGAGAGCTGAAACTTAATGCTGAGTAAAACATCTCACATCACCTGTTATAAAAGTAACATATGTCCCAAAAAAAGAAAACTGAGAAGTATAAAAACACAAGTACAAAACAAGTCTTCCACCCCTCAGCTCTCTTCTGCTGTGGCAATCACTGGACTCTCCCAGTCACTTTCTGTGCAGAACAGTCTTCTGTTGCAAGAATGGAATCACACGAGACAGCTAGTGCTGCTTGTTCTTAGACAGACGTATAGAAAAATCTTCTACTTCATTCCTCTTGGCAGCTGTGTAGTATTCCATGTTGTTTACTGCTCTATAATGAATATTTCAATTTTTTATCACAGGTAATGTTGCAGTAGACATCTCTGTACACAAAACTTTAGTTTTTTGTTTGTTTTGTTTTGTTTTGTTTTTTGAGAGGGAGTCTCGGTCTGTCGCCAGGCTGGAGTGCAGTAGCATGATCTTGTCTCACTGCAACCTCTGCCTCCCGGGTTCAAGCAATTCTCCTGCCTCAGCCTCCTGAGTAGCTGGAACTACAGGCGCATGCCACCATGCCCAGCTAATTTTTGTATTTTTAGTAGAGATGGGGTTTCACCATATTGGCCTGGATGGTCTCAATCTCTTGACCTTATGATCTTCCTACCTCGGCCTCCCAAAGTGCTGGGATTACAGGCATGAGCCACCGCACCTGGCCATGGTAAAGAATTTTTCAAATTTTCATTTCTAAAAGTATTAGATTGACTACTTTCCAAAGTCTTTACCAACACCAGACATAATCAACTTTTAAAATCACTGTCGAGTTGAGATTGTGCCACTGCACTCCAGCCTGGATGAGAGCGAGACTCCGTCTCAAAAAAAAAAAAATTAAATCACTGTCAATCTGAGAAGTGAAAAACGTCTAATTTAAATTTTCATGTTTCATTATTAGTGAGGCTGAATGTTCCATGTTTATTTGCCTTACGTCCTTTAATCATGCATGCATTTCCTCTCACCATTTTCTACTGGTCTGTTGTGACCATTTATTTTGTAGATTGCCAATGTCAGCTTTCTGTTTCTTGTATGTGTTGCAAACCGTTTTGTTTTTTTTTTTAGTTGGTTGCTTTTTTTAAAGACAGAGTCTTGCTCTGTCGTCCAAGCTACAGTGCAGTGGCGTGATCTTGGCTCACTGCAACCTCCACCTCCCGGGTTCAAGTGATTCTCCTGTCTCAGCCTCCCAAGTAGCTGGGTTTACAGGCACCCGCCACCAGGCCCAACTAATTTTTGTTTTTTTTTTTAGTAGGGTTTCACCGTGTTGGCCAGGCTGGTCTTGAACTGCTGACCTCATGATCTGCCCGCCTCGGCCTCCCAAAGTGCTGAGATTACAGGCGTGAGCCACTGTGCCTGGCTTTTTATTTTTTTAACTTTGTATACGGTATTTTCTTTTTCTGTACAGAAGTACTTCTTTTCTTTTTCTGTATAGAAGTCAAACTATTTTGCTTCATGGATTCTGGTTTTTGTTTCTTCGTTCCACGACCATTTAAAAAAATGTGTTCACATTTTCCTCTGATACTTTTAAGGTGTCATTCTGAAGATAAAATCTGATGTGTTTGGAATGCTGGCGTGAGGCTTGAGTATGGACAAGTTTCCTGAGTGCAAGTGTGCACTGAGGACAGCATGGCGTGTGAGGACGGATCAGTTCACACACCTCACGTAAGCTCACAGAGAGGCTACCGGCTCCACTGCACGTGTCTACTGGCTGTTTTGACAACGCGGAGTGAATACTTTATGTCCTCACAAATTCAAATGCTGTTTTTATCATGTATAAATATTACATTATATTGGAAAAAAAAAAAACCATAATGAAGTTATTTAATTATTTGCTCACTTACCTTGAAGAAAAACACATACATGTTGCATTTCTGAATTTACCTTAACCTGTTTAATACCTACTGAGAAAGTCTACTATTCAGAATGTAGAAAAAGGTAAAGGGAGTGGTTAGGGCCCTAAAAGTCAAACTGGGTCTCCGTTGCCCAGAGATCAACATTATTTAAAAACTCACCATGCAAAGCTAATAGAGATCGAACCATGTAACCCTTTTTGAACTATTACATTTTCAACTCAAAACTTGGCCCTGTCTTCCAGTTACATGTCTATAAAAGTCAACTACGAAGCCTTTCAGAGGCCCTATGCTTTGCAAATGAAGTCAGTGGAGCCTTCCTGCACACAGACAGAGCCCAAAGGACAGCAGTGCAACTGGCAGTGCAGCCCTTGGTGGGGCCAAGGGGCAGGTCACGTGGAGGGGTGCGGGTTCCTCCCATGTCCACACACTGACCCCTCACTCCTGCTCACAGGTCTCAGACCCCTCTGGACACCGTGCTGCTGGAAGGTGCTGTGCTCCTGGGAGGTGGGATGCAAGCTGAACTTGCTCACTCCCTCTGGGCTAAATGACAGGTGAGCACTGGGCACAGCAAATGTGACTGGGCACAGTCACCCCGCCTCCAACTCTCTGGGTCCTTGTTCAAACACAGTGTTCTTATCGACACCCACGGAGGAAAATGGGTAAATGCGAAAACTCATTTTTGCAGCTTTAAATTACCTATGTCCTCAGAATGTAGCAGAATTCACACCTGGCTGGGAAAAGCTATAATACACGAACTGCACACATTAACGCGTTTGGATATAAATAAGCATATCTTTACGTTCTGTAAAGTTCCTTACCGCCAAGTCGAATAAAGACACCAACCTCTTTTGTCATGAGACTCAAAGTCTCCTCTGGATACCGTTCTATAATCTGAAGTAATCTAGGAAACTTCAATCTGGCTTCATTGGAATTTAATTTTAAAGCTTTCAACATTTTCTCCACCACAAGTGCTGGATACGCCTGCAGTTCTGCAGAATCAGTAACTATCAATGACACCAAAGAAGAAAACAAAGGTCAATATATCTACTTATCCATAAACTATGACCTTAAATGCTAACATGTTCCCTCTTTGCCTTGTATTTTTTAGTGTCATTGTTCTTTTTTTGTTGTTGTTGAGACGGAATCTCGCTCTCTTGCCCAGGCTGGAGTGCAGTGGTGTGATCTTTGCTCACTGCAAGCTCCACCTCCTGGGTTCAAGCCATTCTTCTGCCTCAGCCTCCGGCGTAGCTGCCACCATGCCCGGCTAATTTTTTTGTATTTTTAGTAGAGATGGGGGTTTCACCATGTTAGCTAGGATGGTCTCGATCTCCTGACCTCGTGATCCGCCCACCTCGGCCTCCCAAAGTGCTGGGATTACAGGCGTGAGCCACTGCACCCAGCCATTGTTCTTTTCTTAACTACCACTGTACACCAACAAACACCAGGTACAGTTTTGTATCTATCCTGAAGCCAAATCCTTCCATTAGAGTGCCCATTCTGCATGAAGCACAGTTTGAATCCTGGGCTGGGAACACAAGGGGCAGTTGGTGGTTACTGAATTTATTCCAGGAGCATGAAGCAGGCCACATGAGCCAGTAATATTGAAGCTGCAAGCAAAATATCAAAGTATAAATTAAACACATGGAAAGAGAGGACCACTTAACTCCATTTAAATGTAGGTCATGTTGCTTAGACAGGCCATTCATTGTCTATCTCTCTTTTTTTTTTGAGACGGAGTCTCGCTCTGTCACCCAGGCTGGTGTGCAGTGGTGCAATATCAGCTCACTGCAACCTCTGCCTCCTGGGTTCAAGCGATTCTCCTGCCCCAGCCTCCTGAGCAGCTGGGACTACAGGCATGGGCCACCACACCCAGCTAATTTTTTTGTATTCTTAGTAGAGTTGGGGTTTGACCACGTTGGCCAGGCTGGTCTCAAACGATCCACTGCACCTGGCTGCCATTGTCTCTTAAAAAGACAATAGGATTTTCAAAATATTTGTAATTTGAAAACAAATAGGAGACCAAAAGTATGTACAAAATTCATAAGACTTTATGCTGACATAATGGAACACTAGCTTTTTAATTTTGCAATTCACCTGATGCATTCTCTTCTTCCTTGCGCAGCTGTTGGTCACAGAAATCTGCCAGCGTCATGTAAGCATCAATCACCCCAGCTGCAGGCCTATAGCTCCAGGAGGGAGGCTGGGCCTCCTCCTCAGCTGCCTGCACAGCCTCAGAGAGGTGCTGGAATGCTCTCTGGTACAGACCCGCGATCACCTGGAATTCACAGAGACCTCAACCCATGAGCATGACTGAAGCTTTCTCAAAGAATTCTGCTTTCCATTTGTGACTCATGACACATAAATGGATCAACAGTTCCAAAATAACACTGAAGCTATGAAACTGGAAAAACAAGAGTCCACACTGGCTGTGAAGGAGCAAGCAATTCCAGTAAGATCCTCAGCACATAACAACTGGCCAAACAAAAATGCAAGCCCAGCGCGGGCCAGGTGCACAAGCAACACAGAGCTAGGTCTGGTCAGTGGAGTGCATGGCGGTTGGGAATATAAGAGGGAGATGGAAGTTGGCTCCTGCCCTCAGTGTCCTGCACAGATGCTGGTAGCATCATGGAGGGAAAAGACAAGGCCCCACAACTGAGGTGAGGCAGGACATAGTGAATGAGAAGGAAGCTGGTAACTATTGAAAAAACAAAATAATCGGCAAGAGGCTAAGCAAAGCAGGCACTAAATAAAAAAGCAGAAAAGGCTGATTTGTTCCGTAAGCTGGTGGGACGTCTGAATGGTGATGGGTGGGGAAATTTAATAAACAAAAGTCATAAAAGAACTGTCCACAGTTCTTTTAATCCAAAAAAAATTAAAATTCATGACTTTTAATATTAAAAAATTTGTATCATTCAAATAAATAGGAAGCACAAAGAATGTCAATTTTCCACATAAGAAAATTGGCTGTGCATAACTGTCAAATATATTTTAAAAACACAAAGCAATACCCTATTACTTTCCTGTAGCCTGAACACTGCACATTGAAGACATACATAGCACACTAGTATAAAACATTCTTCCAGTATTACCTTCTCCGAATCCTCTGAACTGGATCCAGAAAGCTCTAAGATTCTTCTAGCCTTGTCCTCCTCGATTTCAGCAAGGCAGGCTGGCTCACTGCTGAGAGCATTAGCTATGATCCTGTAAGTTGTACCCAAGAGAATGTTCTGGTCACGGGAAGCCAGAATATTTTTGCTTAAGTAGCTTGACACGTTGTTCTCATCTGTTGGATAACAAAAACAAACACTGTGTGTATATGTGTGTGTGTGTGTGTGTGTGTAATTAAAAAGAAGAAATGCGTTGTCTACAAAAGTTTTCTTTTGTTTTTGGAACAGGGTCTCCCTCTGTTACCCAGGCTGGAGTGCAATGACACGATCTTGGCTCACTGCAACCTCTGCCTCCCGGGCTCAAGCGATCATCCCACCTCAACCTCCCAATTAGCTGGGACTATAGGCTTGTACCACCATGCCCGGCTATTTTTTGCATTTTTGGTAGAGATGGGGTTTCGCCATGTTGCCCAGGCTGGTCTCGAACTCCTATGTTCAAGCAATCCTCCCACCTTGGCCTCCGAAAATGCTGAGATTACAAGTGTGAGCCACCGTGCTTGGCCTAAAGTTTTCTATCAATAAATTAATAAAAATAAATATTAGAAGTATAAGAAACTGACTTCAAATACTGGCTAGGGAATTTCTTGAACTCACATATTAATGAAAAATGTTCTTTGTTAGAAGTAACTGTACCAAAGTCCACAGAGGCTAAGCAATAGAAACTTTCATGAATTAACTTTTTATTTAAGCATCATCATTCTGCAATTTTTCAAAGCACCTAATTCTGTTATAAAGAATAGGAAATGAGTACTGTGTTTGTACATAAATTAATAATCCAGAGTAGGTCTTTAAATTGGCACTGTGGCCCATAGCAAATGAAGCAACAAGCACTGCTGCATTTAAAGTTCTAGTTCTGCTGTGACTGTGTGATTCTGGGCAAGCAGCTGGATCAGCGCTGGTTAAGTCTGCAGTGTCCAGAGATGCGATAACAGTGTTGAAACTAGGAGGCCTGATCAAACCACATGCCCTCCTTGCCTATGGTCTGACAGTTCTCTGCCAGACTTATCTCACATACAGGATCACAACTACTGGCCCTGCTTATCATGCAAGGCTGTTACGAACTACAACCATACTCTAACTGTGTAATTATTATTATATGGGTATATGGACACTAATATTAACATCAGCAAACTCCTCCTCCCCTCAAAAAAACCCATATAATTATTTAGCAATCATCAGGATAATTTTCTTCTTCTTTTTTTAGACACAGGGTCTCACTATGTTGCCCAGGTCAGAATACAGTGGCTACTCACACAGGCACAATCATGGCTCAATGCAGCCTCGAACTCCTGATCTCAAGCTATCCTCCCGCCTCAGGCTCCCCAGTAGCTGGGACTAAGGGTGCATGCCACAACGTCCAACTAGAATGATCTTCTCCTCCTGGGATCAGTGTAAAAGAGTGCTTCTCCCCTAGACACCTTTATTGAGGCTGATACTTCAGAGCTGGTCTGGGAACCCAGCTGGATCATGCCTGATCAGAATACTAGCACACATCCTCAGACACAGGGCAACAGAGCCGGCAGGGGACAAGACCCAAACCTGCCCGAGAAAGCTTTCCTCCTTTAATGTAGTCTTAAAGACTACACTATTTCAGGAGGAAACGGCTTTTTTTTTTTTTTTTTTT